GCTGGGGTACAGACCAGAGGTGAGGGGGATGAGAGGATTCACCAGAGACAGAGTGGGGAGCGGAACAGGCCGATGGACTGAGATACACTGCTGAGGGGAGCAGCCGGGAGACCAGAGAGGTCTGCTGAGCCCTGTGGGTCAGCTGCTGGCGGGGGTCAAATTTGTGCACTTAGTGCCACCAGACGTGTCCTTTTCAATGTTGGTACATGGCTGGCCCGGGGCCCCCCTGTCCCAGTGGCTTGGCCCCGCGGTAACCTCCCCCAGGAGCCCCCTGGGTGGATCCCTGTGACTTCCAGCTCAGTCTGTGGTTCACAGGCCACAGCCGCCTCCACTCCAGTAATCTCGGCTGAGCCAGGCATGACTCAGCCTCAGGAGGGGGCGGCAGCTGAGGAGTAAGAGGGAAGTAAGAGGGAAGGGGGGCCCCCGGCCGCACCCCTCAAAGAGGAGGTGGGAGGCTCGACTGGGAGGAGACCGGCATCCTCCCTCCCCCAAAACAATCCCCTTGGCTGCTCCTCACCGCCAGCACCTCCTGTGCTTCTAAGTCCCTTCATTTCTGAAATAGAACTTTCGTAATTTGCCAACGTAAATAAACTACCCATTCCGTTAACAAGGCCCCTGGTGCCTCCTCAGAGGATTCCCTGGCGGCCAAAGCCAGCAGAGCTTTCCAGAGAGGGTCAGGCCTCAGGATCCTTTCCCCAAGTGCCCCCAACTCCCTTCAGTGCGCACAAACAGCAAGAAAAGGAACCTGGCCGGCCTCGCCCGGGCCCTCACCCGTGGAGCGCGGGGCCGTGGGTTTGCTGGCCCAGCGTCAACGCTCCGGAGAGGCCCTCACGGCCTGCAGAGAAGGTCCCCGGGGTCATTCAGCAGAACTGCTGGGTAAACAGGCCCCAGGATCCTGTGCGCAGCCAACGGGCAGACGACGCTTCTCCATCCAGACTTGCAGGGAGGAGGCAGGCATGCTGCCGGGCCTCTGCCCGCGAGCACGGAACCCTAAACTCCATCTCCTCAGAAGACCCCAGTCTCCCTCAAGGCCCACGCAAGTGGCCCAGGTCTCCTGGGGATCATCTTCTTCCCTGGGGCTTGGACCTCCTCGCACCCCAGGAGAGGATACGGGGTGGGCATGTTTCCGGGACCTCCCCAGAGCTCTGAGCCTCAAAGGCACCCCGGGCCAACAGGCGCTGAAGCTGCCTTATAACGCCTGGCGCGCCCTGGCGCGTCCAGTGTCGGTCTTCGGTGGCACATTCGGCCTGCCTGAGTCCAGTGCCTCGGCGCCGGGTTTGGATGTGGGGCCAGCCCAGCAACAGCTCCCAGGGAGAGACCCTGAAGGACACAGGCTGGCGAGATCGTGAGTCCCAGCGTCCACGCACGGCTGAGCTGAGCGGGCCCCTGGGTCCCCACGAGGCATAGCTGGCTGAGGCGCGCCATCGGCTAAGGTGGGTATTTGCCCGTTGGAAATTCTCGCGTGTTCCACCAGAGCTGACTGAGGAGGCTCCGGATGCTGGTCTCTCCTTCCTCGCTCCCGCGGTCCACGCACACCCCCACCCTGTGGCCTGTAAGCTGTCCTGAAACCCCACCCTGCACCCGTTCACTGTTCAACCGCTGACTGTGGTAGGAAGGACGCTGGTGTCCGCCCTGCCCCCCCTCCAACACCCCCCACCCCGAGGTGAGCTAAATACACTGACTTGTTGCCTTGGAGCAGACAGAGGAAACTGAGGCTCAGGGGCTGAGTGGCTCCACCTGGCCCCTGGCCCCTGGCCCCTGGCCCCTGGGATGTGCCTCTGGCCGAGCAAATGTTTCCTGAGATCAACCCACTTCCAGCTATTGCACTGTCTGCTTCACTGACCCCCACCTCCCTCCTCCTCAAGGTCCAGAGCAGTCGCCTTCCTGATGCCCCCAGGGGACCCCTGACTGGAGGTGGCCACCCTCCAACTTCACCCTCTTTTCAAGGGAGTGGGGTGGCATCTCAGCAAAATGTCAAGATCCTACATGACCCAAACCCTGGGTGCCACTATCTTGAGCCATGGTTTAAATACTTTCAGTTGCGATTATTTAAATACCTTTCAATGGCCACAATTGTTCAACAACTGCTGGATAACAGCCCTTGTGCAAATATTTGGTATTTGCTTGATTTAAAACTTAGAACAGCCTCTATTCTCAGAAGTTATCGCCCGATAAATAAAATAACGCAATGAGGGGGATACAGACTTCGAAACATTGAACAAGCTGTTATACAGCTCTCATCCCTGCCTCTGTGTGAGCAAAATTTCAGTGCCACAAACACAGCGAGAATTCAGTGGGGAGGGAAGGACTGAGGAGGAGGGCTGAGGGGTGGGGAGCGAATCCTCTAGCTGTTTGCAAAATGGGAACTTCAGTACATTTGTTAAGGGTTGTTGGTCAAGGTCACCACAATCAGGAATCAGTATTATGCTGAATTATTGTTTTCAAGGAACCCAGTGGCCATCTGGGAGCTGGGTCAGGGGAGCAGAGGATAAGAAGGTAACAAAGATAGTCAGGGCCACGTTGCACCCAAGAGCTCGGCCTGAAACAATACTGAGCATGCTGTGTGTGTGTGTCTACTGAACACTCATCCTACCAGAGAAGAAGGCAAATATTAACACTTGGTATGAACCAGAGATTTGTGGGCATCTGGATAGGCCAGAACTAAGCGCCAAAGAAAGTTAGAGAAAGAAGAGTAAACACTGAAGATACCTAGGTGCCTGGTGGAGAACTGAGGAGGGCGGCAGCTAGCTAGACCCCAGTGCTAAGTCCTGCGGTAGAACCAGGACCTACCTGGCTCCCGGGATGTGCACTCTGACCTTCACAATAATCAGGTTCTCCTGCAGTCAAAGGGACAGCCAGAGGGGCTGACAGCCACCCCCCACCCTAGACACACCCTCCAGGACACTGGTTTTTGGATGAGTAGACAGGGACATCGAGATACTAACAGATTCCCTTTGAGCTGTTTGCCTATGAACCCCTTGAGAAGTCTCCACTTTCCCTCAGGGACTCTACTTTGAACACCGTCCAGGGCGCAGCCTTCTGAAGGCTGATGTGCCTGTTACAGTGGCCCTTCTCTCAGTTTGAAAGCAATGCTTGCCTCCAACCATTCCCGAATCTTCCATCAGGCATTTCACCGGAAACTTGGAGAATACCGCACAGAGATCATTTCATAAAGAGGAGTTGGAAAAGTAAGTGACTTCAGTGATTGCGTATAAAATTCTTTTTAAGTCAGATGGAAATCGCTCCAGGAAATGGAGACGCTCTTCAAGCTGACGTGATAAAGCACTAAAAATAACTGCTGTGAGCATCAGCGTGTGCTGCTCAGCGTGGACCGAGGAGGTCTGTGGCCTGAGCAGCATCCCTTAACTGCACCCTTAGACCCCGCCACTCATGCCAACAAGCTTGCTCAGAACTCCCTGTTGCACACACAGGATGTTTGCCAGGAGTCGCTGCTGGAGAGGGTCGTGAGACTCTAGAGGTCTTTGTGAGCTCAACAGACCCTCCTGAGGTTGTTCCTTACAACCAGGGAGAAATATCCTTTTCTGGGGTAAGTTCACCAGACTCTCTCTGTGTGGCACAAGACCCACACCCAGGCAGGAAGAGGCACTCAGGGTCAGACTGCAGGGTCAGACACCAGGAGAGACCTCAGAGAACTTCCTCAGTCAACTTTGACTTTCCCTGTGAGGAGTCACCAGCCCACGGAGAAGAGAACTGCTCAGGTGACAGAGTTAAGACACAACAGAGGCAGAACCAGGCAGCAGGTCCCGGGCCTGCATCCAGCTCTTCCTGCCCGCTGGGGGCTACTTCCAGCAGGAGGGGGCGAAGGTGAGGCTGTATTCTCTGCCCTCCCGCTGCGTGGCACCACATGTCCTCCTGATCCTCTGCAGAAGCGAGTGACACAGATGAAGAGGCCAGCGACGTCTGCATAGAACTGATTTTCAGGATGTAGCCCAGACTCTCAAAGAGGAGAAGGGAGACAGCCATGACCGTGGGGAGAAAGGAAAGGACTTTTTACCGATAAATGTTTTGGTGTGCACCAAAACACCATTTCTGAGCTATGGTCTCTGCGGAGACTCTGGGAGGGCAAACTGGTTGTGAAACAGAGGAGAGGACACGTGGAGAGATGAGACTGAGTCCTGAAAGGGGCTTCACAAGAAGGGAAGGACGCCAGACACAAAGGCCATGTGGTGTTTGAATCCGTTTAGACGAAACGTCCAGCACAGGTAACTCCATAGAGAAGAAAGCAGATGAGGGGCTTCTGAGGGCCGGGGAAGGAGGGAGGGACGGTGGTCACTACTGGGATTTGATCTGCAATTAAAGAGCAAGTGTGGGCAGGCGGCCTCGGGGTGGTGCTAACCCCCGCCCGGGGACACTTGAAAGCGATGAATGAGCCGGGAGGTGAAGTCGATCTTGATTTTTTAAAAGACAAAATGAAAGATTGCCAGGGAGTCAGGGCATATTTATAGGACAGGCACGAGAGCTTGGGGAAGGAAGTTCACACTTATAGATCAGCCCATGTCCCAGACCCCTCAGATAGCTCACATTCACTCTTTTCATTTTTTAAGCTTTATTGATGCACACAAGAACTGGGGTACAGACTGGAGGTGTGGGGGTGAGCAGACACACCAGAGACAGAGTGGGGAGCAGAACAGGCGATCTACTGAAATGCACTGCTGAGGGGAGCCGCAGATGAGACCGGCGAGGTCTGCTGCGCCATGTGAGTCAGCTCCCTGGCCGGGGATCGAACTCCTGCCACAAGGCTGGTGATAGCCTGGAGCCTTTAACCCCTGCACCACCAGAGAGGCCACAGTCCCTCTTTCAATGAGGTCACAGAGTAACCCTGTGTGTTTCCAAAGATATCACCTGGCCAAACAGCCCTGTCCTCACAATGCCTCCCATCCTCCCTCATCCCTGCTTGCACTTCGCCCTCGCTGTGGCCCACCATGGTGGGCATGCCCAAGGAAAGCTGTTTGAGTAACTATTAATTGTCACCTCCACAGATGAAACCTGGGGATCTAGCCCTTCCCAGCAGCAACCACACCTCAGTGACCCACTTCATCTTGCTTGGATTCTCCAGTTACCCAGACCTCCAGAAGCTTCTTTTTGGAACCTTCCTGCTCATCTATACCATGACAGTGGTGGGCAATCTGGGGATGATGGCCCTCATCCTCACAGACACCCGTCTCCACAACCCCATGTACTTCTTCCTCAGTGTTCTCTCTTTCCTTGATATCTGTTACTCTTCTGTGGTCACACCCAAGCTCTTGGTCAACTTTCTGGCCTCTGACAAGTCCATCTCTTTTGAGGGCTGTGTAGCCCAACTGACCTTCTTCGTGGTGCACGTGACCGCAGAGAGCTTCCTGCTGGCCTCCATGGCCTTTGACCGCTTCATGGCCATCTGTCGGCCCCTCCACTATGGTTCCGTCATGACCAGAGGGACCTGTCTCCAGCTGGTGGCTGCTTCCTACGCGTTTGGCGGTGCCAACTCCGCCATCCAGACGGGGAACGTCTTTGCCCTTCCTTTCTGTGGGCCCAACCAGGTAACGCACTTCTTCTGTGACATCCCTCCTCTTCTCCACCTGGCTTGTGCCGACACAGCCACCGCAGAGGTGGTGCTCTATATCTTCTCTGCCCTGGTCACCCTCCTGCCTGCCGTTGTCATCCTTACCTCCTACAGCTTCGTCCTGGTGGCCATTGGGCGGATGCGCTCGGCAGCAGGGCGGGAGAAAGCCATCTCCACCTGCGCCTCCCACTTCCTGGCCATTGCCATTTTCTACGGCACTGTGGTCTTCACCTACGTCCAGCCTCACGGGGCCACCAGTGATACGAACGGCCAGGTGGTGTCTGTCTTCTACACCATCATCATCCCCATGCTCAACCCCTTCATCTACAGCCTCCGCAACAAGGAGGTGAAGGACGCCCTACAGAGGAAACTCCAGGTCAGCATCCTCCCTTGCTGAGAGCTGCAAGGTTGTTTGTTGGAATGAGGGGTGCAGATGCCAGACCACCCTAGACATTGAGCTCATGAAAAGCAACATGACATGGAAGGAGGCGGCAGCAAGTGGCATCGTCCATCCAGAGCACAGCAGCTTTGAAAGCCTCTTCTCGTCCATGGCTGTCTTACAAGTTCCCCGCCATATCGTGTGGCGGCCATTGCTGGCTCCCTCTCATTTGACCAATGAAGGACATGTGACTCTGGTAAACTAATGAATGACCTAGTCCTTGGTTCAGTGAGAGCGTGTTCAACGTCAGGGCTTCCACGACACAGCTGGGGATGTTTCATTCCCACCCCAGCCTTGGGCTAAGTTTTTCATTAGCAGCTCATCGTAACAGCCAAGCAGCATCAGAAAAGAGATGGTACCATCACTTCTGCTTTTCACTGACTTGCTGGAATGAAGTGTCCTCGTGCTTTTTTCTCTTCCCCAAAGAAAGATGAGCAGGATAGAAGTGTGCTTGTTTCTGAAAGCTTCTGCATTTTTCTGAGCTGTCCCATTCAGGCCAGAGAGAACTGTCCTCGTATATCTGCCTCCTAGCCTAGTGCATCCAGGTCTCATCATTCCTTTTTCTTTTTTTTAAGATTTATTTATTGATGCTGGGGTATAGGCCAGAGGTGCCGGAGCAGTAAGAGGCTTCACCAGAGACAGAGTGGGGAGCAGAACAGGCAGATTGACTGAAACACACCGCAGAGGGGAGCAGAGGGGGAGACAGGGGAGGTCTGCTGCACCATGTGGGTCACCCCCCTGGCCTGGGATCGATCTCATGTTGAAGCAGCTGTGGCTAGCTTTGTAGTGCATGCTTTCACCCACTGCACCACCAGGGAGGGCCCCTTGTCTCATCATCCTTAAGAGAGGGTACATGTGTGATGTTGGGGCAGTCAACACTACATAAGACACTGCACTCTGGGAGAGTGATTCAAAACATTCTTTAATATCTTTGGCCCGAGTATCTTCAAATAGCCACGTAATATGGTGAATATGTGTGTTTGAGAAAAATCACCCAAACTTCAAAGCTGACCTAATTCAGGGCTGAACTTGGACTGGAACTTTTAAACTCATACAAATCCTAACCCGAACTGAATTGATTTCAGTCTGAGTTTTAGGGTCATCCACGAATTTTATTTTGTTTTTTTTCCCAGATCTACTTTAAGGAAATGATTCTAAATTCAGAGAATCTTACTATGCTAATAGGTTTATCACAGCATCATTCTTGAAGGCAAAAAAATCCTCAACAACTAGAATACTAGAAGGAGGGAATGGAGCGAATGGCCCATCCTCTAGCTGTATTGTAAAGCAGTCAAAAATTATGTTATGGAGACTACAAAATAATGTGAAAACATCAGGACTAGGACCTCCAGAGCGTTATTGGAACTGTGCTAAAACAAGAGACAGTGACAAATATTGTCTGATTGTTCTATGATGATAGCCTGGTAATCATGTTTTGTTCAAAAATTTCCAAGAATTTTTACTATGCATGTTGAATTTCAATACTTTATCCTAAAAGTAGATAATTTTTAAAATGTCCTCCCAAAAGCTGGGTGTGAAAATGTCTCCTTTTTGTCATTTTTCATTAAACAGCTATTTACTAAATTCCTCCCATAGTCCACATTCCTTTCCTGTGTAAACTGAGTTCTTGGAACATGACTTCAAAATGGAGTCAAGACTGGAATATTACAATGAACAGACTTGGTAAAATTATTCTAATTCACACACCTAGAAAAATACTTCACAACACATATCAGATAGCTTGTGTGCCAGGGACATCGTTCACCTGTGCTAAGTGAGGGAGATCAGTTGAGTCTCCAGGTCAAGATCTATCCATCCATCAGTGTCTGGATCACATTACAATTTTACCATTTCAACTTATACCCTGCAAGATTTTAATGGTGGAGGAAATGACCAAGAACATGGTGTAAATGAGGGATCCAGATGGCTTATTTAAGATGTTCCCTATTGCTTATTAGTAGTGAAGTACAAATCAAAACCAAGTGAGATGTTATCCCAAACCAATTAGAGTGGTTATTATCAAAATCCAAGAAATAATAAGTACTGGCAACGATGTGGGGAAAAAATCTTCCTGCACTGCTGGTGGGAATGTAACTTGGTGTAGTCACGATGGAAAACAGTATGAAGGGTCCTCAAAAACCTAGAAATAAAACTGCCCTATAATCCATGATCCCACTTCTAGGTACTGACCCAAAAAAGATTAAAAAACTAATTCAAAAGAGACATGTACCCCTATGTTCATAACAACACTATTCACAATAGCCAAAGTATGTAAACAACCCAAATATCTAATGGCAAGCGATAAGCAGATAAAGATGTGGTATACGTGTGCAGAGGAATATTACGCGGTCATAAAAAAATGATGAAATCCTGCCATCCATGATCACATGGATGGACATTGAGGAAAATGTGTTAAATAAATCAGAGGAAAAAAGACCTTATTGTTTCACTTGTTTGTAGAACATAAAGAAATAAAAAAGCAAATGAACAAACAAAAACAAAAGCAAACCCTTAGAGCCCAACAACAGAGCAATGGGGGCAGGAAAGAGTAAAGGGGACAATGGGTTTGTGAGGGATGGTGTCAGGCTAGTGGGTGGTGCAAGTCGTGAGATATATGCAGATGCAAATGTGAGAAAACGTACTCCTGAGGCCGACACAGTGTCATAAACAGATGTTACCGCGATAAAAAAAAAAAAAAAGTCATATGGCGTTTATTTTAATTTCCTGGCCCGAGGCTGACTCACATCACTTCAGCCCACGTGCCATCAGCCTGGATCCAGTATCATGGTTCCTACAGAACTGTAGAGGAGGCTGAGAAACAACATTTTTTCTACCCCGAAAGAAGGAAACTAAACAAGCTCCCAAAAGAACAGCGCTTTGTCTCGGTCACTGGCCCTGTGGGCAGTTGGTTGACCCTCATCCCCAGAGTGAGCCCGAAGTATGGTGCTGGTTAACTCATTCCTACATAACTGAGGCACATTCTTGCTTTGGGTGGAAATTTTAAAATACCCCTCGCCTGTGCTGAGCTATTTATCACGCATATTTTCAAGTACACATTTAAGTCGCTTCCAAAGGCGGGCTGTGGCTTCCCTTCCACCATGTCCTGCTCTGACAGCAGGTGGAGGCCCACCCAGGAACCCATGGCCACGGCCCACCATGCACAGAAGTGGCCTCGTGACAAGGGGATGTGACCAGGAGAGAGATTTCACTCTCTAAAGCGTGGACCCCTTAGAAGTGGGAGGGTGTGAGGACCTCCTGACCATCCCCTTTTCCAGCAGTTGGAATCATGAGACTCTGTGGCCATGGACATAGAGCCACATGAGAGGACTCTGGTTTCATGTGTCAACAGAGCAAAGCTGTCTCCTAACCAGGACTAGGAATAAACTCTAACTGTGTTAGATCACTGAACATCGGGCGATTGGAGATACTGTCACTAAAACGATGACTTTCAGGTTGTTTTTGGTCTTATGTTTTCATAAAAGGGGACACAGGCTGTCTCTGTGAGTGTCCCCATCACCTCTCTGTGGGTCACTGTATCATTTGGAGAACCCAGAAACCTATTCCCAAGAGTTATACCGGACAAAGCAACAAGTTACTAAGTGAAGGGAATGTCCTTTTGATAGGGGCAGTTCCCATCAAGGACAGTGTCTTGTGATGTATTTATTGCTGACCTTTTCTTTACAAGTGAAGAAGACTCAAGGAGTTAAACAACTGTCCAAGTTCTCACAGCTAGTAATGAAACAGGCAGACCTGGTTGGCAAATAGGAAAATCTTACTGGCGATTAGGAAAAATTTTAATTCTAAAAAGCAAAAATTACAAATCATATGTCTGGGGTTAGTAACAGCTGTGTGTAAGCTAGACTTACTACTTTTGACAATGTGGCAGCAGGTTAGAAAGCCTTGCCTGTAGGCCTCCCTGGTGGCGCAGGGGTGAAATCTCAGTACTATGAAGCCATTTGCGGCCACTGCAGCCAGGGAGTGACCCGCATATGGGGCGGCAGACCTCTCCTGACAGGCCCGCTGCTCCCCTCAGCAGTGGACTTCATCAGTCGGCCTGTTCTGCTCCCCACTCTGTCTCTGGTGAAGTCTCTTGCTGCCCCTGCACTCTGGCCTATACCAGCTCTGCACGCATAAAAAAAGGTGCAGTCCTATGGGCTGATGGACGGTTTATTTCAGCAAGGCTCTTTAAGTCATATAGGTTTGATGCACTTTCAAATACATATTTCACCATTTATTTTTAAACAAATAGTTGTGATAAAGTTGAAACTAATAAGCATTTTAAAATCTCTGTAAATACAAAGTCTAGAAGACAAAGACCACCAAGATGACAAACAACTGGAACCAAAGCAGGTATTTACTCAAGACCCAGGGCTGTTTCCACACACCCTGCCTTGGGCCCAGGCCGCAGATGAGGGCGCTGAGGAATTTTACCAGCTCTGGTGGGGACTGCCAGAGAGAGGCCTGGGTCCCGGCCCGTAAAAATAGATAGCTCTTAGAAGTGTTAGTGGCTGGATCAGTTTTATTTACATATTCTGGGGTGGGATGTGGGTGGGGAAGTTATTTTTCCATTCAGCCATTGTCTGGCTCTCCTGCAAATACTCCGGGGACAGTTTTGGAAAATGGAATGCCTAAAATTTGAACTTTATACTCACAAGTTTTACTTGTTTGGAAGGAAGGCAGGGGATGTAATTCTGAGAGCTAATGAGACTAAGGCCTCAAACATAATGCTTAATTTGATTTCATATCTGAACGTCACATCCTACATACATAAATATTTAAATTCTTAAAAATAGGTTGTATCTGAAATACTACTAATGACATCTAATTTTCTGGTGGAACTTTGCAACTCAGAAATCCTGGTGTGTCTGGCTTATAGGAAGTCCTACTCAGTAAAGAGAAAATGGAATTTTAACGTCGCACATAAAGAAATCCGCTAAGTCACTTGGCAACAGATAGGG